TAGTTTACTCCAGTCTCAGGTGGCCAGTAAGCTTTTTAAAATCTTGATGAGAAATGATAGTGACAACAGCATTAGAATGAGGAAAGTAAAAAAAAGATACATATCACAGAATTATGTGATCTGCAATGAAACTTAATCATTTTTTCAAAATTTAGGGTTGATCCATTTTCTAAGAAAGATTGGTATGATGTGAAGGCACCTGCTATGTTCAATATAAGAAATATTGGGAAAACACTAGTCACCAGAACTCAAGGAACGAGTGAGTATCTTACTCTTGGTTTGTATTCTCCTTAAATTGGGGGGTATATATTGTTGCCAGCATCTGGATCTGCTGTTGGTCCTGTGATGGAAGACTTTAAAGGAAATGTCAGCTTTCACACCTGTGGTGCTTCTTTTTGGTACAACACTGTAGAAGCAAGGTGGTGCGTTTAGAATTACTAAGAAAAAACGTGTATAGGTAGTTTTGAGCTCCTAATGAGCACTGTTGATAAGCCATTGGCATCTAGATGTTTATTAATGTCTAACCTCAACTTATGTGCATGACTCTGTAGGCTTGCCTTTGCTTATGTGGTTACTGTTGTTAGACATTTGATTCCTGTTTTGTAGAAATTGCATCCGATGGCCTCAAGGGTCGTGTATTTGAAGTGAGCCTTGCTGATCTGCAAAACGATGAAGTTGCATTTAGAAAATTCAAGCTGATTACTGAAGATGTTCAGGGCAAAAACTGCCTGACTAATTTTCATGGCATGGACCTTACCCGTGACAAAATGTGTTCCATGGTTAAAAAATGGCAGGTGAGACCAGCAGTTTCCCTTAGAATACATAGTGCTATGCAGTGTGTGACCAAGGATGTCATGATGTGATGACAGAAAGGAGCATATCATAAAATTGTGGTTGAGTTCACTTTAAATCCTTGATTGTTTTCTTGTTATTATTGAGTGCTCACTCTGGGGTTGGCAAGGTATGACCTTCCTATTTTACTTGTCTGTTTAAATCCAACATTTAATATTGGGTTATCATCAAGTCAGGATTTTTTGCTTCATGGATTAGTGGTTTTTTGAGGAACATCTGGGTGCAAGTGGGCAGTTTTGCCTGTCTTCTGAGTATCTTTGGATCTCAAAATCAAGTGAGTTTATAGTGAAAGAGTCTTTTGATTACCTCTGGCAATAGAGCATAGTAGTGGCAGAGCCTTTGGTGTGACATTGAAATCTTGGCTCCATTTCCTAATTGTGTTCTCTTTGGAGAGTAACTTAAGCTTGCTAAGCCTTGGTTTCTTTATCTGTGAAATGGAGGTAAGAATATCATTTCATTGAATTGTGAGGATGAAATTAAAAATCCATGTAAACATGCTTAGTACAGTGCTGGACATAAAAAGGTTTTAGTAAACCGTATCATTTCAGATGTGTCTGGCTAGCCACCCAGTTTTGGAATATTCTGTATGTGGGAATGAATGATGACAAAATGTTTCGGTCCCAAATGATACATACTGATTATACCGTTACATTTATTTCTGACATTCCCTTAAGTTGTGTGTTTGTTTTTTTAGACAAAGTCTTGCTTTGTAGCCTCAGGCTAGAGTACAGTAGGGTCATCATAGCTCACTGCGACCTCAAACTCCTAGGCTGAAGTGGTCCTCCTGCCTCAGCCTCCCACGTAGCTGGGACTACAGCGGGCACCACCATACCCAGCTAATTTTCTTTATTTTTTGTAGAGACAGGGTCTTCCTATGTTGCCCAGGCTGATACTGAACTCCTAGCCTCAAGCCATCCTCCCAAAGTGCTAGGATTACAGGCATGAGCCACTGTACCTGGCCTTCCCCTAAGATTTTATGATTCCATTTCTGGAAATATTTTAAAGTCCCTTGGCTGTAATTGTATTGATAAGTTCATTTTTTTAAACTAGGATTTAAAATTCACAAAATGCAAATGAGGCAATCACTTTTCATCATTACCTAAGATGATTTTTTTTTTTTTTTTTTTTTTTTT